TAGTATGATCCCGGTGTCTGATGACATTTCCAACATTTTTCCGATTTGTTTTTGGACATTCTTGCTATTCTCGTTGGGGGTAGGTGCCACCTGTAAAACATCTTATACAAATTTTCCTTATAAGCTGTTGACATTGGCATTTTATAATTTTGGGACCACAATTTCTCCCATTTCTCTAGTTCAATCCCATGTCCAAAATTCCCCCCCCCCCAAGCTATCACAGGTTCTTTAACTTGTTCTTCTTTTAACTTTAATGTCCATATAGTTTTTTTAATTACTTTTTCATCAGTACCTGTCAAAATTTCATCTCAGTTTTTTTATGATAAAAACCTTCCATTTTGCAGTCTTTGTCATATCTAGATTGTATTTGCACATATGGAAATCAATTCATTTCTATTCCTTCCTGTTTCAGCTCTTGCATAGATTTGAGTTTACCCTCTGCATTCAAAATTTCACCATATCTAACCATCTGTTCCTCCTTGTATATTATTTGATATGAAAAAGCTTCAATAGTTGATAGCCAGACTGGTATTTTTAAGTAACATTGTTTTTTAATCTTCTCCCAATTCAATAACAAAGCTTCCGTTAAATAATGTCTTCTGGAATAGCCCTGTGTTTTAGTACTTTTATACCATAAAAAAGCATGCCATCCTAACAATAAATCATGTCCTTCTAGAGTCAATAATATAGGATTCCTTAATGTTATCCACTCCTTAACCCACATCAAGCTAGTTGCCTGGTGATATAATTCCCAATTGGGTAGGCCCATGCCTCCCCTTGATCTAGCATCTTGTAACGACTTTAATTTTATTCTTTCTTTTTCCCCCTGCCAAATGAACTTCAATACTATTTTGTTTAATTCATCAAGAAAAAAAATATTCCCTAATCTAATTGGAATTGTCTGGAACAAATATAAAATTCTAGGTAAAATATTCATTTTGATTGTAGAATTTCTCCCTATCATTGATATTTACAAATCTTCCCATTTCATTAAATCAGACCCAATCTGTTACTTAAGTATATAAGAGTTATTCTCTTTAAGAGTACTACATCTTGCAGTTAACTATATCCCTAAATATTTAACCTTGTTTGTAACTTGGATCTCCAAAGCTTCAGCCAATTCTTCTTTTTGTCTCAGTGTTATACTCTTTGTCAAAATTTTCGTTTTGTCTTTATTTATTTTCAAACCAGCTACATTCCCATATTCCTCTATTCTCTCAATCAATTTAGGTGCCATTTCACGTGGATCCTCAAGAATAAAAACCAAGTCATCTGCAAATGCTTGTAGTTTATATTCTTCTTTTTTGATCTTCATTCCTTTTATTTCTTTTTCTTCTCTGATCTTTCTATTTAATACTTAGTAAGTTAAGACAAAAAGTAAAGGTGA